GCTTCAACACAGTCCCCAAAAGTTTCAGTGTCTGACTCTTTGCTTTGGATATTTGACACTAAAATCATAGCCATGTTGTCAGCAAGTGGCAAGGAAGCTTCATTGAATTGAAAGGGATATTTGCCAGCTGACAGCAGTTAAAAAGGGAGACTCATGTTAAAAAAAAAAAAAAAGATAATATTGTGAAGACAGAAGAGTAACTAGATTAGAGGTTCTCAGACTGTGTCTTGTGATCACTTGCTAAAGGGTCTTGGAAAGCTCTGCATTAGTATTGCATGGCCTTGACTTCCAGCTGAATAAATATACCTAATCCTTCCCTAAAATCTGCATTGCAGTATAGGCAACTACAAAGACAGATCCTCTCCAGTCCCCCTGAGCTAACCAGCAAGAGTATTTGCAAAGGAAAATTGTATCTCACAAATCTCCTATAATTCCTGTGACATGTCAGTAGAGCAGTGGATGAAGTTGAGTCAGGTAAAATAATTTTCGAAAGGTGTTTGACAGGGGCCTTTATGAGGTGCCACAAATATATCTTAAATCATCATGTGTAGACAGAGAAAATATTATGAATCAAAAATCAGCTAGGTGAGCACAAGCAGAGAGGAGGATTAAACAGTTGGTTTTCTTAATGATCCAGTGATAAGTTCTGGTTTTGGCACTGACTAAACAGCAAGATTATGCATGTGGTAAGACTTTAAGTCTAGATAATACCCATCTCCCTGCTTGTTATTAATTAGGATTTTTCTGAATCGGTTCAACCATTCCCGGTATCATGTGCCACACAGCAAGACTGATGACACTAGATAAATAGCATTGCCTTAAATCTAGAGTGAGTACTATTATTTACCTCTGCATGGTACTTTTCCTGAAAAATTATCAACAAGCTAGGGTTAAAAGCTCCAAACAAAACACTGCCAAGCAGTCATTAATCCCCAAGAAATGTGTGGTTACTTAATTGTTGCTGCAGAAACTGAACTTGGAGCAAGGATATGCAATACTATAGATTTCTTTATTTGTAGGTTTTCTCTTCAGTGAGAAGAAAAGCCAAGTTGGCATGTTGAGTAAGGTTAACTAGGCTTGGACCTTTATAGCTTGTAAAAGTGGACATTTATGTATGACTGCTGAAAAGTGATTTACTGCAGGCAGAGACGAGCAGAGTTGCAGGGTTGTAGAGTTACAGTATGCATGTGAATGAGACCTGCCATCACCACCAGCACCAGTGCAAAACAACATTGCTGCAACTCTCACAAAGAGAAATGTGTGTTACAAAACAAAGAGAGGGTCTCTGTGCTGCTCCTTGGGCTCGTGCATCTGGCTGCAGGAAGAGGAGAGCAGTCATTGTCATCTCAAACAAGCTGTCCTCTAGTTAGGCAGAACATATCATTATTCACATATATTTTTAAGCAGCCTGGTCAGGGCTTCCTTCTTTGATCTAGAAGTCTTTGTTTTCCCCACTTCTGGACCCCAAATGTCTTCTCAGTGCTTTCTTTAGTTGGCAGTGTTCAGGCTTTAGGATGAAGTTAATCAGGTTTGAAGAAGACTATAAATTGGTTTTAAATTGGGCCATTATCTTGTAGTGGCTGGAACATTTTCTGGTGCCAGGTGTTTCTGACTTATTTTTTGTTTGATTTCTGCTAAAAAAGATCCTGCTTTTTTTCTCTTTCAAATTTAAAAAACCTTTTGTGTCAATCAATGTTCTATCGCCAGTTTGAAGGTGCTAAGGCTCTTAAATACATTTAAATTTTCATCCGTCCTTTTCAAACAGCTTTCAGTCCATAGGGTGCTTTATGGCAGTCCTGCCAATGCCAAACTCCAAAGACAGGGAATTTTCCTGAGAAGAGATGTGCATGAAAGTTCACTTTACAATAAAAGTTGAGTCTTTTCTGTTTAGTTAGTTAAATCATTGCCATTTAGGCTTGAATTTTCAGACATTTCACACTATGTACCAAAAAGAAAGATCTCAGTATAATCATATGCCCCTCCTAGTGTTTTGAATCTGTCTCAAATATCTTCAGATAGAGTCTAAAATCCTAAGACTTGGCACACTTGAACATATTCTGGATTTGTTTCTGCTTGATCTTGCAAAGTGTTGACATTTTCCGGACACCTATATCCTTTCTCCTGATTTTTGAGGCTCTGTTTTTGGCAGCCAGAAGGAGACTCTGTGCATAGTTTAATGTTTCTATTTTCAAGAAAGCATTATACTACATCTAAATCTTACCACTCCTCAGTGCTGACAGCCTGTTGTTTGGGACATTTTTCATGGTGGCTTTCTGATTCTTTTTTTCTAATTTTATTTAGTTTTATAGTTTTCTGAATTTCAAAGTGTAGAGATAAATAAACAATGTATCAACACAGTGTATTATTCACAATAATACACAACTCAGGATATTATTCTAGTAAATTCATATTCAGGTATTCATGATAATGGCAATTATTAACCCTGGCAGATATCAGTAGTATTACTAAATCTTTGTGTCAGAAAGGGTTACATCAAATTTAAATTATGTAGAAAGCTTTATTTTATACCACAACTGAAAGTAAAGAAGGAGAAGAGAAAGTAGTTGGGGGAAAAAAAAGAAATACCATTAAGGCTATTTTTCATTGAAGTGTGGATGAGAAATAATGTTGGAGAAAAGAAGAAATGAAAGATTCTGACGTGTCAAAAAAAAAGGTCACCCTTATTTTTAATCAACACCCTGGTTCTTTCCCTGGATGAAGGCATCATTGTCAGACTCGGGCAGGCAAGGTGGGAGGAAAGAGCTCTGCTGCTGTAACAGATTGGTTCATGCTGGCACAGAGCAGACTCTTCAGGAGACATCTCCCTGAAGGTGACCGTGGGGTCACCAATTGTGTAACATGGAAGAACCTCTTGAGCAAGTGGCAATGACAAGCACTGAATGGAATATTTCACAAGTAGGATAACTTTAGGTCAAAGCCACCAGATGTTCCCAGTCTGGCTGCCCCCATTCTTCAATTGACAGAGATAACATAAAGCATTGCCCTTTGGAAGAAAGGGACACTTAGTCATTCCCATGTGTTCTTTTGGGCTCAGCACCTCAACTTTTTGTAGGAAAAAACACTTTGGTTGAGAACAGGGTTTTAGCAGTGGAAACATCTCTAGTCTATGTATGCGACATCACATTTCTCACAAAATAAATGGTCCTCCAAGGAAGAAGTAAGAAGAGCAGGTGTGAAAGTGGTACTTTTTTAGATAACAGACTTAGGGTTAAATATACACATTGCAAATCTCCTTTTTGTCAATTTATAGTCATACACATTACTGTTGGAATATTCCTTAATACATAATTCCTTAATCTTTTGCAAACAGTAGCACATGTGCCAGATACTTGAGGCAAACAGCAATCTGATTGCCTATGTTTTTTGCTGCCTGAGTTTTAAGAAGTTACTGTATATTAAAAATTGCTATATACTGTTATTGCTGGCACTTATCAGATAAGGAAGTCATAAGATGAATGATCTGTCTCAAAGAAGTGAAAAGCAAAGCAATTCTGATACTGAAACTGCAAACCAGATGATGCTCTGATTAGAGGCATGCACATAGATTACAGAAGTATAATAAATCATGCAACTTTTAGCCTCAAATAAAATAAAAGAATGCAATTTTTATTAGGAAATAAACTGTTCATCAAGAATGCTTTAAAGGTGACATTTATTGCTAATAAACTGTGTTGAAAGGACTGGTCCTTTCATTGGCAGAACAGCCAGAGACTTTCCACTATGTAAAAAATGCAGCAGCTCAGTCCATGCCGGGTCAGGAAGCAGTTCTGTCAGCACTAATGGGCAAGAGACTCACACACGCTTTTTTCAAACAAGAACATTTCTTTTCTCTTTAAAAAGGAATGAGTCATGGAAATATAACGCCAGTATTATTTTGGGAGGCTGTGGATCTCTGCATGGCTCCCTGGAATATCACTGAGAAACAATTCCACAGTCAGTTAATGGTAGCAAAACCCAGCAAAGCATCTGCCAGGCAGGCTCTTGATAGCATCAGCAATCCCCCTGCTTAAGGGAGGATGTTATTGGCTCTTCAGTTATTCTAAAATACAAACCAACTTTCAGGGTTGCCATGCTTGGCACTATTTCTCATATTAATTCTCTTAAGTTACTGTGTACCAAACACTGTGGCTGTTGGTGCTGAACATGTCAAAGAAACATGTCCATCCCTTAAGCTCCTGCACTAGAGAGGAACAAACTTCTTGCCTGAAGTGTTTCATTTATCCCTTCCCAAAAGCTGCCTTGCTTTGGACACCAACTCATTCAGACTTGAATCATAACAGTATTGAGCAGGTACCTACCTTCTACCTGAAGCTGTGTAAAGGATGACTACATAAAAGTCAGGTCAAGCTACATCTGTCTCTTAGGTATGAAAAAATGTCCCTCAAGACAAAACAGGGAGGAGAAAATGGTGGAGTGCAGCACCCCTTGTCTGGGGCTTGCCACATGTCTGTGTTCTGCAAGGCACAAACATGATAGAGTTAGGAACTTACTCAACTCCTTCACAATGATAAAGACAATTTTAGGAATTAACTGTTAGCAAGTGGTAAGCATTTACCATTCTGTCCTTGCCTGTGAAATCTGTTTTGTGGTTAGTCCACAGTGTGTACCCTGTTACCTGGTCATGAACTGACATTTCTATTCCCATCTACAAAAAAATGCACTTGTGTTCATCTCACCAGCCTGAATACATTCTGTGATTAAAATGTATTTGCAGATTGTCAGAAAAATCAAACTTTTTGCACTTAAGATGAATTATATATTCAGGAAAATGAAACAGTGCTCAGGAACTGCTCTCAAGAGTCTGTAAAAATCATTGTAGCTCATGTTTTGTCTAGATTAGAAGAAAACTGGGCATTTCCTAGAAGCTGCAGTAACTTAAATATTCCACTGCCCAGGTACTCTTGCTACTGATATGCTATCATTGTCTCCTTTTCTACTGACTTTCTAAATGGAGTTTGCTGAACAATATTGTTTTTCAGGAGATGACCCATTCATGGCCTCCACCGCTGTCAGCTATTCACACACCAGGAAAGGCAGAACAAAGCAAGTTTCCCTTCCCAAACAAGGTAAGGCATTCAGCATCATGGGGAAACATTCCTCCTGCATCTCACAGTGTGGCCTACACAAGGACATAGTGACTGAGGTCTCTGCGCTGAGGTTGATGCCCTGATGATGATCTTCTTCTTGTGTGTGTGCCAGTATTCCCTGTTTTTTCCCTTCTTACAGCCTCAGCAGGGCTACACAGTCTGCATCTCTTGGCAGCAGAATTGAAGGTGGTGTGGGGGTCACAGGTGCCTCATGGGAAGGCAAAACCACAGTTGTGTCTCTGCTGGGATGTCCAGATGGGGTGGCTTCTGCTGAGGCTCCTGACTGATACCTTAGGGCACAGACAGCAGGGGAAAGTCCAAAGCAAACGGAGCTCCTCCTTGCATCCATTGCTGCTGTGTCACTTGGCTTCACCAGCTGAGATTTTGGTTGAAACCTTGGAGGAGGCTTTCACTAGTACGCTGGCCTCTAGTTGGGGCCTGAGGATTGGCCATACATCCTCTGCCACCAGCCTGGCTTCAGAGGGGCAGCTTTGCTAGAGAGGCAGTCAGCCCAGTGCTGTGATGCCCAGAGGGGCCACAGAAGCATTTGCCAGAGAAACATTTGATCCCCCTAGAGACCAAAGCCACTAGTCCTGCTGATGCTCGCTTAAAACCAGCCCCACCATCGGATACGTATCCACTGCAGGATGCAGTGCAGCATGGTAAAGCTCATCAGCACAAGCTTGGGGAAATCACATTATTTATACATGGTAAGTCAGGAGGGAATGAAATCAACTGTCTTGTGCAAGAGCCAATAAATTTCACATTGTATCACCATATACTGTGTAGATGTCACAAGCATATTTCATGCAGCATTCAAGCTTGAAAGATGGTATTGATGCTGTTTATAGTCTTTTTCCTGTTAAAGCAAGCTCGTTTGGCAACTTTTAAGTCCATTCTGCAAAATTTAGTTCAGGGAATAATTATAACTACAAAGCCAAGAAAACTTCATTTGCCTACAGTAAAACAGCTTTTCTGTGGATGAGAGTGTCACGATTTTGAAGTATCAGGGGTGTAAACCAAGACATCTCTGGCATGTTATGAAAGAAAAAGAAGGAAATAACTCACTATTTGCTTGTTGAAGGCAGAAAAATGACTGAAGATGGTAGGTGAGGTAGAGACTTGTTAAAATAGAGTAAGTCCTGTAGGAGAGAGGTGGATCAGCAGCTTGCAGGCAGGTGAAGTGCCTGATAGGGATGACAAAGTGAGGTGGTGCTTGCAGTGCTGCATTTCCTGCCACAATTATCCCCCTACAATGTGTTTGTGTGGCACATGTGCAGAGATGCAAGACAAGGCACCTGTCAGTGGGTCTGTGTGGCCATCGTGAATCCACTTCCTCACAACTAAATGTATTGTGATAAATATAGGAATAGGAGAACCACAGAGCAGAGAGCAAAGATACATGAATAATGGTTGATATTGACTTTCTCATCTTCTCTCTGCCTGTTCATCCATCTCTCTGGGAAATTTTCTCTTATTTTGAATTGCAGAGCCATTTCAGAGATCTACCATTCATATTTAAAGATCTTTTCCACAGTGGTTTCCTTTTCTCTTGCCAAAGAAAAATTTTAAATTTTTTTAAGCTTAGGATGAACAAGGTTTCATCTAGTAATATGTGAGCATACTTTTGTACATATAATAACATCACAACTGTATTGTGGCCTGGGTGGTCTGCATGGACACAAATTAGAGTGCTTTGTGTGTGATGGGAAAGAAGTACCTTAAAAAACTCACTGGAGTCCTGGAACAATCCTGTATTACTTGCCATAGATTACGAACAATCCTGTATTACTTGCCATTACTATGCTACTTCTATTTTAAAATATTTTAAAATAATTAAAAGCTATTCTGTTGCTTAATTGGTAATCTGTACAGTTACAGACATGGGAAAGGATTTGCTTTTCAGACTCCAAAATGCAAAAAATGGTTTCCTAATTTTTCAAACATGTTTTTCAAAATTTCATAAGCTAGCTATTGCTTTTCACAAAGCATGGTGTAAAATCTTTATTGGACATCATAGGGAATGTCTCCAGAGCTCTTGGAAAGCTTTCCCACAGGTAAGCTACGTAGTTGTCCCTATTTTTTAAAACCTGAAGATGATACCAAACTTTTGTGGATCACACGTTATTCAGATAAATGGGTCTGTCAGTTAAGTAGTGACCAAGGCCAATAAAGAGACTGGAAGGCTAAAATCAGGGCAACAGCTTCATCTCTTAGTACCAAGTCATGCACAGTAACATGATTTCCTTTTCAGTCTTAAGGGCAGTGTTGAGACATCAGTTCAATCCATTTGCAAAGACTCTTCCAGCAAGAGAAGCAAGTAGGCTGCACCCACTTTTAACAGAAGACAGTTCCCAAACATAAAAATATTCATCATTTTGGGAATGGGAAAAAGAGAAGGCTCTTGCCCTGTTACAAGGATGCAAATCATAACTACTTTTCTGTCTGTAAAAACTGAGTGTCAGCATCATTAGTTTGCATTCACGCCACGCTGCTTTTAACCTGCAATTCAAGTAATTAGCGATCTGACAGCTTGAAACTTGAAATTTATTAATTAGGCTATTAAAGTTGCAAAGGCCACAGCAACTTTGGCTAGAGTGGTTTTGAAATCAGTCTAGTAAAAAAAAAAAAGCTAAATATCTGAGATGTATACATCACAAATGTAATGGAATTCCATATTTGAAACTGCACATGTAGTTGTATCAATCGATACAACTAAATGCCCATTTGATGGAGGGGATGGATGTGCATATGCTGTAGTTCTATATGAAATCAGTCCTCATTAGCATGGGAGGTTTGGATTGATTCACAAGGATGGGAGGAGAGTCTGGGTCAGGTTTGACACATGTGGTACTGCTCAGTAGGTTTCCAAGTACTATGCTGCTGGAGGAGCAGCACTAGAGACCTGTCCTTTATGTAATGGAGGGCAAAAAGTTCCATTTCATTCTTAACTTTTAATTTTCTTTCTCTCTGGAATTAATTTGTACTCTTGAATTTACTTGGAAGGGGCAATGACAGTCTCTTTATTTCTTGTTTTTCAAAGCTTAAGGATAATTGATTGAATGTATGATGTGACAGGCTGTGTGTGCTTTCCTTTCTCCTATCTCTGCCACACTTTGTTATGTACAAATGATCAGGCATTTCTTGATTTTAATTTTATTTAAAGCATCTTAATAAATAAACTTTAAATGAATAATTAAATTTGTAACTAAGAGCTCACTTGATGCTTGTGTGGATGAGCTTTCATGTTCAAGCATTAACTCTCTTGTGCAGAAAAAAATGTTGTTAATTCTGCTGCCTGCTTTGCTCTCTTTCTTCATTTTTACTGTGATTTCTTGTCTTGATAGTTTGATCAGGTGTTTGATTTCTGGTTATGTATATGTGATATTATGGGATCAGCCATCATTTTGTTATTTGAGAATTAATTTAGCCACTCCAGGAGAACTGGTTTCTTGTCACAAAGCTATTGGGTGATTATTCTCAGCAGATGCTAAGTTATCGTAGTGATGTTGTTCTTTACCAGTGTAATTGGTTTGCTTTTTCCTTTCTTATTGATTTTAACAAGCTAGAGGAAATGCACTGGACAATAATCTTCAGAAATGAAGGCTTCACCTTTTTTTAAAGTTACATTCCTTTTTTTTCCTCCTTAGTGGGAACATTCTGTATTTCTCTATGAGATATTTTTACTAGCCTTTGGCAGAGACAAGAACTGCACTCAGCAGTTAAAAGGGAAGGTGCATTCTTCCTGAGGTTAATGAAAGGCCAAAAGAGTCAGCAAGATCTTTGTTTAGAAGTTTCAAACACTTTTACAAATACAAATTCCCCTCAAAATTACTGTATTTCCTTGAACTTCTTCAGGTACATAAATTCTCTGTTTTGGAAACTGAACATGCTCCAAAAGCCTACTTTTATTGGGAGTGTGGTTGGCTACAAGAATAGCATTTAAATTCAGGTGTACATACCACTACATCACCACTGCAAGCTGATCTTGATTTTTTAAGATTACATTCAGTCACAAGAAAAAAACAGGCTTTAATCTCTCTCCATCAGAAACATTCACAAAAAGCTGATGCAATTTGTCAAAAGTACACAATTTCAGATTACTGAGAAATTATTCTTGGCATGTGAAACATGGTACAGATCTTTTCATATTGCAATAGATGGTAGAAACTCTAGGGGCTTGCCCAAAACTTTGACGTCTCACATTACAGGTATGTAGGATGGAAGTAAGTTGCACATGTGTACTATGGTATTGAAAATCCATGCAGTCTGGACAGACCAAAATGTGCAGATTGAGGGATTATGGTATTGAAATTACAGATCAAATCCATGCAGTCTGGACAGACCAAAATGTGCAGATTGAGGGATTCTGATCAGCTGAGCCCTCAGGATGCCAGGACCTGCTGTCCAACCAGCCTCTGTTTCGAGGGCCCACAAAGCTCCTGGGTCCCCAAGCCCCTGAGGAATTCTCCTGAGTGACTTAGCAGCACAATCTCAGCCCAACCAAGTCAGAGCATCCTCGGCTCTCTGGGACCTGCCGTTCCTCTCCCCATGAGCTCTGTGTTTGGCTCGTCCTTCTGCCTCTGTGGACCAGGATCTGGTCCAGTGCCCAGTTCCTCACCAAAAATGACCACATGTGTTCCTGTGGGTGCCTGGCCTCTCTGGGCAGCCTTAACTGCAGCATGGATATGAGGTGGCATTCCTGTGTGTGTCTGAGTTATTCAGAAGCAGAGTTACATACAGGATACTTTTCCTGCTGCCATTCATGGCAAAGTGTTGTTCTTTCCCTTGATTTAATTCTCTTTTTGCTATGGTTTATATTTGTATTTATAGGCTTTTAAAATATATATTTTTATGAATGCAAAAAAATTCTGTGAGTAAAGCAGAGTGAGGTAACATTTGCACTTGAGGGAAAAGTGGTCTGATTTATTGCACCACATTCACAGATATTGCTGTTGTCATACAAGGTCGACCTTGTAATCTCAGGGAACCAGAACTAGTCTGTATTTTCATTCTCTGATGCTGTCAATGTCAACATGTAAAAAGAAAAGACCAGCTGTGCTACTACCTCAGGAATCCAATGGTCCATGAAACAATATTGGCCTTCCCTCTGTCTTCTCATCTGAACTTGTGGAAGATAATAGACGAGTTTTGGCTGATCAATACATGAATAGTGAGCAGGAAAGTCATAACAGCTGTACAAGGAATTGCACCATTAAGGGGTTGTTGTGAAATAAGTTTACAAGCCTAATAATTAATGGATTTTCCAATAAATATTGGTCTTATTCTTGTAAATGAAAATTACTTTGAAACCATATGAACAATCATCAGTGCTGTTTGTACTGTTAAGGTTATCTTCAATAAGTATTGCAGCAAAAAAATATTTGCAAAAAAATAATACACCTTCCCTTTTTTCTGTTATTACTCTAGGAGTCACAACAGGGATCTACAGGACACAGCAATACAAGTAAGTACCAACTCATTTTCTGGCTTCATTGGGTGGAGGGGTAGACAATGACTTAGAAAAAGAAGTGGCTGATGAAGTAAGGGATCAGTGGAAGACTGGGACAGCACAAAGCCTCAGCAGGCAGTACTCAGCTATGGACAAATATGGAGAACTGAAGAGTGACCATCAAATTGTCAGCTCTTTTGGTGGCCTGGGGAGAACAAAAAGTTTTCATTTCACTATGGCTATTCCATTATGTAAATGACAAAGACTGAAAGAGCAAAGGAGTGGGTTTTTGGAAAGCCAGAAAAGAGCTGACCTACTTGCACAGTCATATCTAGACTGCCAGAAAATTGTGCAGAAAACTTGTAATCATTTATCTTTCATACACAATGGTATATTTTGTGGCTATTGCACAGTAATAAGCTGCATAAATCTTGCCAAACTAACACCAAATAACATTTCAAAGACCCTATGGCCATGAGTCTTTTTGGCTAGCAGTGTGGATAGGGGAGTGATGGGTGCTTGTGTGGCTCCTGCTCAGGGCTTTCCAGTAGACTCCAATTTACAAATCATGGTGCAGAACAGTAGCACTTTTATAACAATTTAACTGTGGTAAAAAACTTAACATCTGTATTGAACAGGAAGATTGAATCGTTCCGCGAAACAAAATATTAATCCTCTCCCTTGACACCTCTGATGGTTGTTGATGTTGTCTTGCATATGAAAAATACATGATTCTAGCCTGCTTTCCACATAAAATTATCACAACCAGAAGAATTATTTTGCTAGCTTCCTGACCTGTCAGCCAACACAAAGCCCAGTTTGCAAATTGCAGGGCTGTGACTGAAGGTGAAAAATGCCCTGAGCTCATAGATAGGGCTTTGAAAGGGTCTGGTCAGCCACTGTATGAGGGAAAAAACATCCAGAGAGACAAGACTGGGAGATACAGGCTTTTAAAATGGTGTGGCTCTTCACTGGGGAAAGGTCAGCATGAGGAAGACAATGTTGTGAAGAAACATGCAGTGGTGTCACTTAATTGCTGGCATTGGTTTGATATTGCTGCAAGTACCAGCACTAAGGAAATAATAAAAGGCAAAGGGTATGAGGTTCTGTCAGAAAATAATGAATACAGTAATGAGAGAAAGAAGCACAAAAGAGCCATAATAGAGAGGGCTATGCAAACACAGGCAGAGGCACAAGCATGACAAACACACTGGCTGAGCTGAGGGCTTTGCAATGACATCAGAGGCCACAGTAGTTGGCCAGCTTTGGTCCTAGCTGAGTATTTCCTTCTTCCAACACTTGAATAAAATAGGTTGTTCTGCAGATTTAATGAAACCTCCATTCCTGAGTATTACAAAATTGATCCTATAACCTTACAACTTTTCCCTGTTTCTTACTCCTGTGGTCTCTGACCCCACTTCACTTCCTATTGTCCCATCCCTCCTACATCCCCATACTCCAGTTTCTCCTCTCTTCATTCATCGTGCTCAGTAAAATCTGCAGCTGGGCAGAAGCTACACTTGGTACTGCCTAGCTGATGGCAACCAAGTGGAAAACAGCTGGACCCATGCAGAAATATTTTCTTTATTGGTGGCAAAGTTAGCATCACTGTTGGGTGCCCAGACACATTTTCTAACATCACAGAGAGAGCCTGACTACCTCTGAGAGCTGTATCCATGAGAATTCCTGTTGAAGTGCTGGAATAAGATATCAGATTAAACACAGTTAGAATGAGATATAGACTTTACCAGTCATCTATGTCAAACTCAAGAGAAACTTGGGAAAAAGTTATTTAGATGTGTGGTGGGTTGACCCTGACTGGACACCATGTGCCCACCAAAGCTGCTCAATTACCCTCCTGGACACAGGAGAGAAAATACAACAAAAGGATCATGGATGGAGATAAAAACAGGGAGACAGAACTCACCAATTACTGTCATGGGCAAAACAGACTCAACTTGAGAAAATAAATTTAACTTATTACCAATCAAATCAAAGTAGGACAATGAGAAACAAAATCAGACTTTAAAAGCACCTTCTCCTCACCCATCTCTTCATCCTGGGCTCAACTTCAGCCCCAAATTCTCTACCTCCTCCCCACCAGCAGGGGACCAAGGAATGGGGGCTGCAGTCAGGTAATCAAATCACACCTGGTCTCTGACACTCCTTCCTCCTCAGGGAAGGGACTCACACTCTTCCCTGCTCTGGTGTGCGAACCCTCCCACATGAACTTCATGAACTTTTCATGAGCCCTTCCCACAGGCTTTACTTCTCTTAAACTACTCCAGGACGAGTCTCTCCTTCAGGAACAGGCTGCTCCAGGATGAGTCTCTCCTGCTCAGGGAGCAGTTCCTTCAGGAACAGGCTGCTCCAGCATGGGTCTCACACAGGGTCACAGGTCCTGCCAGCAAACCCACTCCAGTGTGGGCTCCTCTCTCCATGGGTCCACAGGTCCTGCCAGGAAATATTAGCAAATTACTCTGTGAGAAAGAGCTCTAATGGTCAATGTATTGTGTTATCCAAGTGCATGTCTTCAGAGTCCCAATTAGCTGTTTTTTCCCATTGCACCCTGACTTCTTTGGAGTGGCTCTTGAGCCTGTCGTTTGCAGTGGTTTTACTGCAACTGCCAACATTGTCTTTCTCATGGATAGCATTTTCACTTCTGTCATCCCTCCCTCACAAGGAAATCAGAGCATTTAAAAACTCATAATAGCTGAAATTATTCAACTCCATCACAATAAATATCGTTTATCCCTGTTACCCAGAAAGGGAAATTTATTCTGGTTGAGTGATTCACCAAAATTCCAACTAAGAGGAGAAAACTCCTTTTCTGGCCACCCACTATTCAACAGGGGAATCCTACAAAAGTTCATTTGAAATTTATTTTGAAATTTGAGAAGTCTGGACACATCTTCTGCTTGTATCTAAAAAGGTTGGGTAAGAAGTTGTGTGAGATGAGGCAGAAACTAGCAAAGACCTCCCAGTCCTGTGGCTAAGGATCTGTGGACTGACTGTTTCCACTGTGTGTTTTCCGCATACACCCACTGACACACACCCTCAGTGCTTAGCATCTGAAATAAAATGTGCTAACAGCAATCCCATAGCAAGGTGGGTAGTATGTTCTTTGTTAATTCCAAAAAGGCTAAGAAAAGCAATGGTTCACACAAATTTGCCCATAAGAAGCAGTCAATACTAGAGAAAATTTAGCAGTTCAGCAAATTCCAGCCTCCCTCAATGGTACCTGCATGCATTTGACAGGTTACATGAAAAAATCAAAAGTAAATCTTAATTTGGCCATGTGTGAGTGTAAAAAAAGCCAAGTTATTGTAACAGGTAATTAAAAATATTATCTGTAGCGTATCTGTGACATTCACCTATGCTTAGGCTATACACATTTGTAAAATTTCTACATTTCAGTCAAGTGAGAATGAAGTTGGTAAGAAGTGATAAAGCATAAATGGCCAGATTTTCTACTCTGATAGGCTGTACTGATGCATTTCTACCATCTGTACAGGCTCTGTCCTTCCTCTCCACACAGAAGTATGTTAAGTGACAATTAGCAGAAAAGCAGCTACAAATGCTTACAGTAGGGTAATCCATTAATATCCAGTTTGGCTAAATCACAGACATTCTGTTTCCTCACAGTACGTATGCTGTTTCCCTTGTTGCTGCATTAACATACATTGCTGAAAGTAGAACTGATGTGAACTCTGCTGGCAAAGCACTCAGGAATCCATATTCCCTCTCACACTCAAACAAACCAGTGTTCATGGTAATAATTCATCACTTAGAAAAGACCCAAGTTACAAATAGGAAATCTTTGAATATATGCCAACTGTTACTGTTGGTTTCTTGTTCCAAATTACCATAATGCAGATGAGCTCCAGGGCTCCAGGCTCCAGAAGGCTGACAAAAATATATTTTACCAACAGCTTCCTAGCCAGTGACTTCACTATCTGGATATAGTTTCTGAGGTCTCTGCTGAAAGTGAAGGGTGACCTAGAGATTATGGAGTGGATTTGTTCCATCCTGTGTGGATGCCCTGCTCATGCCTAAATTTTAGGTGGCTTTAGTAGCTGTCCTCTTACAGTGAATGCTGAGCTTTCCTAGAAGTTCATGTAGGCATTGGTGGTTTTGAAGTCATCCAGAGTCTTCCCCACCCTGTTCAGTAAAGTTTAGGCACCTCAGCTGGACAGACACAAACCCTACCAGAGGGGAGGATGACATCTGAAAGCACTGTGTCAAGGTGTTTGAGATACCCAGAACTTCCACTACAAGTCAGCTACCTCCAGAAGGTCACTGTCTAGAGTGTCCTTCAGCTTCCTTCTGTACAGCAGTGAATGAACACTGGCAGCAGAGTCCTGCCTCTTCTAAAGGCAAGAGCAAGTTTTCCAGAGGTGCCCTTACAGCTGCTGCACTGTGGAAACTGAGGGTGAGGTCTTTGTCAGCAGCAAATGGATGATATGTGATACTCATGTGCATGGACTAGGTATCCAACACCCACTCAACCCAACGACAGCACATCAGGCAGCACCAAAACACCCTGACCAAAATAAGAATTTCTCACGGTTTTTCAGGAGGAATAGGTGCATTTTGGCTTAACACAGCTCATTATATGGTAATGGAGAAAAACACATCCATCAGTAAACCAGTCACATTCAACCTCTGTGCCTCCTTGTCTGCTAGGCAACATAAACTCACGTGTAGACAGCTATTAGCATCCAGCAACACACAAGAGCAGCAGCATCTGCACACTCACTGGGCCCAGGATTCAAGTTCAAGGTGATTCAAGGGGAGTAGCTTACCCTCTAAATCCATGGTAGAGCTACACAGAAATCTTACACTGGAGCGCAGCTTTCTCAGGTTACTCAGAGAACAATAATTACAGCAAACATCAGCCTTGCTGGTTTTTGGCAGGCAGTAGAAAGCAGGGAGAAGGACTGTGCCTGGCTCAGCAGAAGCAGCACCACCCCACCTGCCAGCAGCCTGCCTCCCACTGTCTGAGCTATGTAAATAAATTGTGTTGGGCAGATACATTATTTTGGACCCGGGATGGGGATCATCACAAGCTAGCATACCAGGACCCACATGATTCATAACAAAATGTGGACATCCCTTGGACCTCTGGTGCTTCCCAAGCATTTGGGTACTTGAATTCTCCTGGCATTGAGTGCCTAAGCCAAACATAGCAAAGAGGGCTTCCCCAGCCCCCACCTACAGAAGTTAAAGGTCAAATCCTTAACGTGTCAAAATGAATGTGAACCAAAATATCCACTGGCAGAACTGTGCCCTGATCACTGCCTTACTGTCCTCTGCTGATGCCGTTTTGCTTTGTATTTTGAAACAATTACTGATCCTGGAGCAGGGTTCTGGAGCAAGTGCGTGTTGTATGGAGTACACTCTCAACAGCAGAGCTGTAGGGCCCTAGAGAAATCCTTTCCATTGCTCCAGGGTCTGCTCTCCCTGGTAAGGTCTGTGTTCTCTAAGCACCTCCTCTTGTGGAGTTCCTCTGCCTACATTTCTGGAGCACTTGTCAGTGACGAGAAGAGTCAAGTCAGGATTGAGTCCCTGCTTGCAGGCGCTCCAGCAGAGCCCCTGTGGTTGCCTCCACAGCTGTCTGTGTGTGGCAGGAGTGGTCAGTGCTAGCAGTGAATAAAGCATTGATGTGTCACATCTGAGCAGTTTTCATGCTGACCCATTTCTGATGTCATTTTCTTCTTCTCTTTTAAAGGGAAAAGTGATGTAGAGCCAAAGACCCCAGAGAAAAGCGCAACCCATACATCGTAAGTCACATTTGCGTTTAAGATTGGAGAAGGCAGCTGTGTTTTTATCAGATCTGTTGGGCAAAATAGAATTTGTTTGTTTTCATTAAGATAAAGCTCTTTCACTGATGCTTTTCGTAAAACGGCTTTTTAGATAATGACTAAGCATTAATTATTCCTAGAATTTCTGCATGCTGGTAAGTCAGCAATCCTTGCAAGTGAAATGGCTCCATATCACGCTGAATAGATATGAGATTATTTTTGTGGGTGGGCAAGGCTGGCCTTTAGAACCTTACTTCAACATTACCTTAATGCTGCTGGAGTTTGTCACACTTGCTAAAAAACATCATGTCACATATGCCTTTGATGTACTGATGTAATTTTAAAAGACTGCAGTCTGCAGCCTCACCTCTGAATTACTTGAAATCCAATTACAGTTATCTCTGGTCTCTCATGATTTTGTTGATGTTTTTGAATTAACAAAAGAAGTCAAGAAATAGATAGGAACAGGCACTTGTAATATATCAGTGTTCACCTTCACTTTAGTGCAACAATAGAAGCTTTTACCATTTTTTACTCTAGTATACAAAAGACTGAATTGTTTTGCCAACATCAACCAGTCTATGAAACAGATGGGCTGCAAGCTAAAAAAATTAAAAAATAGCATCAGTCTTCCAAACTAAGCGAGATAAGTGAATTCTTTTAATAACTACCAGGCAGGAGCATTATGAATTTCTGCAAAATCATTCACCTTTTTAATCCCATTTGAGAGAGAGAAGTTCTTGTAACAGTCAGTCATGTGAGTTTTAGAGTGCATCTGGCCCATAATTTATGTTTTCTGATTCCTGTTATTTAAATTCAGAGCATTATATCATGTAAATCTCACAAGGTGTCACCATTTGTTACATGGCCAAAAGTAGTCACAGAAGGAGGTACAATAACAGTGATTTATTGTGGGACGTTTTGATTTCTGCTGCAAATACGCATTAAAAATCTTCTGGAAATTAATCTGGGAAAAGATTTGACATGGTGTAAGAAATGGCTTGTCCTGCAGATTGTGTTGTGGAATGTAATTATAGTATGCAAGCACATTTAGGCAAACTTATTAAATGAATTAAGCATTAGCAACCTTATGCCTTCTGATAGCATGATTGCTGGGAACATTTAATAGAATTATTTCAATAATTATCATTTTTAAAAATAATATTGCAATAAAGACCAAAAGAAGAAGGGTTTTAATGCCATCTGGAGGTATTTTGGAGAAATGAACACATTTATTTTTCCTGATATTTAGCAATATGTAAAACACAAGCCATCCTCCACAGTGTTTTTTCTAGTTAGTATTTTATTGATGAGGACTGTTCTTCTGCATTAGATTAAATTTCTGTAAGATTTCTGAACCACAACAGTGGTATCTCTGAACCCAAAATACGGGTTGAGAGGTACACCCCAATACAGATGTGGGTTGGATTTGAGACTACATACTGGGTGATACAGTGTGCCAGAATCTGGTTAGGTGTGAAAGGTTCCTTGCCTAATAAGAGATCTTGGTACCTTCTGAAACTGCTGTCTACTAGATACAGTATATTTCTATTGCTTATCTTTCAATTATTACTATGTTCTAAGGCTACCCCACAGCATACATTGGTTCACAGAAAATTTTTAGTGGCAGAAACAACTTGTTACTGTTGATAAATTACTGCATTCAGGAACCAGAGGCCCTCTAGTTAGGGAAATTCCATAGCAATGGAGGCAGGAGAAAAAAAAGGAGATGAGAAGAAGGGCGCCAACAAGTGTTGTGTCAAAAGAGAACAAAGAAAGTGGGACTGATACAGTTAAGTTGGAAAAGGAATTGCAAACATCAAGTTTTCAGAAAGAGATAAGAAACTGGGAATAGTAGAAGAGAAAACCAGAGATCAGAAACTGAAGACAAGTAAAAGCCATTAGCAAACTCAAGATGTGCATGTTACTCAATAAAAGGCTGGATCTGTGAGTGTTAGTGAAGGAAAGTAACCCACACTGATATGTAGGCACACACTGATGCCCCAGTTCTCTTTATGCTACCCTGCTGTTGGCCTTTCCTAGGTTTCTTCTCTTTTCCACCATCTTCTAGGACAGCTGTTTATCCCTGGTGTCTCAGGCAGTCACAAATACAGAACTCCTCTGCTCTTTTGGGGCTGCAGCAACTCGCACCTGCGCACACGATGCACAGCCAGGAGAAGCTGTGGTGCACACCTGCACAAGGGCCTGTGAGCCTGGTCTCTCTGCAGATGCGTGCTCTCTGCCCTGATGCACATGGAGGAGACCATGCCTGGGCAAGAGCTCCAGCAGTGCCCAGCTGGAAGCCTCAGGGCTGTGCAAGGGGCAGGAATGCTGCCAGGGGTCCCTGTGGGTAAAAAGGCTGTACCCTCTTGCAAGGTATCACTCCTCTCAGACTGTCAAAGGAGCCCAGCTGGCAACTCCTGGCAGGGGTGCTAAAAAGGAGCAACACTGATGTAGGAGAGAGATGGCACATTCAGGGCTGACATGGAGAAACTGTGGATGCACCTCACCGTGAATCAGCGTTTCCCTGTGAAACAGGAACAAACAGCAACAAAAAAACCTCCCCCAAAGTCATGTTTGCCTAGAGGAAAACTACAGAAAAGATAGGGAGGATTAAATTAATGTTTTTTTCTTGAAAATGTATTTTTTATTTTCCTCAGGCATGTTACAAGCCTCACACTCTAGCCAAGCTTATATGATTCAGTGGCAGTTAATTCATCCCTGGTGCAGATATACTGCCTCCATCCAAACATTATTTATGCAGCTTCAAAGGACAGGTTGATTACCCTCCTGAATCAGGCAGTGAGGCGTTTGTGAACCAAGCATTAACATGACATGTCCCCTCAAGATAACACTCATGCCTTGCCACTGGCTCCAGGTCCTCAAAAACAAACATAACCCTGAGACCTGGAGCCCCAGGAGCAGAGGTGCTGTCTGTAACCTCCCAGAGTACACAAACTGAGAGTGCAGGATGCATAGTGCTCTGTTCAGAGGCTTTGGGTACAGGAATCATTTGGAACAGCATTAAGCACAGGGGCTTTTCCTATGTGTCTAACTCCCTAGACAGACTCATTATGACATAGCTCTCCACTGATAATAATATTAAACATTAAAAAAATAGTAGGCATTAGATGATGCATATTAATTGATGCAGCATCCTAATGAGGCAAATTAATAAGGGCAGTTATTGCAATCCTAAGGATTACAGAGATGGATCTAGGAAAATAAGACTGATGGAAAAGTGGGAAGGAAATCTAAGCAGAGCTGTATCATTTTGCACAATATTCCTATGGCTTTCACTGCCTTGGCATTCCCAATAATCACCTGAGCTGGCACTAAAGAATAGCAATAAAAGGTGCAAACAATACAGAAGTGTTAAGCTGTCTGTAGTCTTCCCCAGTTGATTCATGTTCCTTGTAATTGAATGCTTTTAAAGCCATGAGCATTCTGTATTTGAAGGGGTTTTGTTGTCATTGTACTCAATATATATAGCTCTCCATGGGTCATATGGTTATAGCTTTGCTGAGCATTTCCAAACTTTTAGGACTGATCAGAAATATCTAGTGATGTTTTGTTCTTTTGGTTTTGTGATCAGAGGGTCAATTTTCAAGGGTCAGAAAACTTTCACAAATTTTGTTTAAAACATCTGATTTTTATTAAAATTCTTTCCCTCCCCGTGTTTTTACCACCAGAGTCTGGAGAGCTGCATTAAGACATGGCCATGAAGGAAGAGTGGTCTTTGGTTCTTTGATGTTTGCAGTTACATGATTTTAGTCTTTTTTTGACAGATCTGTGTGTCCTTTCAGTAAGCCTGAAATGGTTGTAATTAAAACTTTAAATTTTACAACTCTTCTCTGGAAGGCAAAGTGATTCCAACCAGTGCACATGTTTCAGAGGACCTTGCAGGGCCACAGAAATGCCTCCCTGAGCCGGGGATCTGGGATCTTCCATCTTCCCACGTGCAAAATATGACAATAATTAAAAAATAGCACAAATATACAAAGTGCCCAGCATGACTCCTGCTCTTGGAATGACTTTCGATGTACTGTCTGTTGCAATGTTCTTCAGTACCTTTGTGTTTGTAAATGATTTCCAGTTCAGACTACCCAAGGTTAATCATGCCTGACTGTGATTCACTGCTATGCATTTACCTCGACATTTCTAGTGCACTTACTTAATGATATCAGGGCTAGCAACCAGATACCTCAGTGCTGTCTCTTTATTAACCCTCCCACAATTGTTTTCATGCTGAGCTGCTCCAGATTTTTCCCTCCCTTTTTACAAGAGAATTAACTAAGATTGAGGGAGGCTTTTATAATTTATGGCAGTTGTGCAGGTTTTGTCCTTTGCTAATACTCTCTGAGAATCACAGCGATCACTCTGTGTGTGTGTGTGTGTGTGTGTTGGCTTGTTTGCTTTTGCCAGGCAGAAATAGATGTTGGCTCTGTTCCCTCCATGTACTGGTCCCCAGCATCACGTGCAGAATGGTTTGCTCAGAGGAATCTTCATTAACAGCACTAAAGTCAGCAGCTTCTAAGCTGCCCATTTGCAGACATTAGTGCTACAGTTTCTTGCCCATCCAACACCTGCTCATCATTCTCACCACTCTGAATCTCCTTCAGGAAGGAAACATCATGTTGGAGCAACATCACTGCTGTTCTTGCTTAATGTGACGCATTTATATTGGCACGAGCATCTCATGTTGCAGTGCATCTTTCTTCCTTTCTTGTCTTGCCCCTTCTATCTTCAGAGTGGCTTCAACAGCTGAAATCACCTGCTGGCTTCCCCCTCCTGCAATGAGAAGACTGAGGCAGAGGGGTTACAAGGTGCCTGCAGAGAACAGAGAGAGCCAGTCTCAAATACAGGCGATCAGTTTGAGCAGGTGCTGCCAGCTCAGCATCCAGCCCTTAGCCCTCAGAGAGCTTGTCCTCTCACATCTGGCTGACGTGGGGTCTTGACCTCAAGTCTCTCAGGCAACA